GATTTGGGTTCCTTTCTGCAAGAAATATAACGTTAACGTTAGAGCTCCTTTTATGTACTTCTTGAACCCTCCGACCGCAACAGAAAGTTCTGAATTCAGTAAAGACTGGGAAATGACGAAGGTATAGGGTTTGTTTGTCTTTTACAAATTCTTTGCAAAATTTTGAAAACTGTTGTGATTGATAGAAATATAAACTATTTGTTCAACCAATAAACACAATCACATTTTTGGTTTTAAAACACCTGAGACAAAAATCAAGATTTTTCATTGCTTTTCGTAATAGTTATTTGGAATTTTCTTGAAATTTTGTTTTTGTATTAATATACAGAGGGAGTACGAGAAGCTAAGCCAGAAATTAGAAGATGCCACCGGACGCTCCCATTGGTTGGATCCAGAAGATGACTTTGAAGCTTTCTCAAACACAATATCAAATGATCATTCAACTATAGTTAAGGTATTTCTACAATTTTCCACAGTAAAAAAATATAATCTCTAACTATAGAGAGCTGCGCAAAACAAAAGGGTTAACCCTTATAACAGTTACATGAAAATCTTGTTTTATATGTTTATGTACGTGAAGGTGGTATGGGAAAACAAGGGAGGTGTGGGAGACGAGAAAGAGGTCCCTCATGTTGTATACATTTCAAGAGAAAAGAGACCAAATTACTTTCATCATTACAAAGCTGGAGCCATGAACTTTCTGGTTAGTAATTTCTCACATATCTATCTTCTATCTTTTTTTATATTTTATTTGAAGTTTCAAGTAAGGTACATAAGAAATTATGAGGTTGGACATATAGAGGTGCATAATGCCATAGTGCATATGTATACGTCTTTTCAAGGAAGGTAAACAGTAAAGGAGAAAATGACATCTACTTTCTTATTGCTAAATTTCACTCATTTGATTGATAGGCCCAACCATATATAGTGCAATTTTTTTTTTTTCTTTGTGCAAATCCATATATTGTGCAACATGTAATGTACCATATGTCCATATGTTCCGCGTAATATATGGCTGCAAGCCTGCGAGACTACACTTACTTTTGACGTTTTATTTGCATGTGACAATCCTCTACATTCACTGTTGAAGTGAAAAGGTAACCAAGGATTTGTGGGCCTAGGCCCATAATCTATTCGGATCAGAACATGTTAAACTAGTATTTTATTTGTCATTGGTGCTCAAACTCCTCTTTGGGGCCTCACTAGTACACCGGTTGAGCTATGGATGCCGAATGTAACCTTGCATGGCTATGTGTTAATTAAGAATGCATGTGAAATTATAAACAATCATGGTGCCTTTGAAATTGATATTTTATAATGATTAGCCTAAGGCACCATACAATATATGAGAAGCCATATCGAACAACTAGCAATGATTATATATATTAGTTTTTTTTTTCAATAGTAATTACAAATGTGATGATAGAGCGTGAGATGAATTTGAACAGGTAAGAGTGTCAGGGTTGATGACAAATGCACCATACATGTTGAACGTAGACTGCGACATGTATGCCAATGAAGCAGATGTGGTGCGACAAGCAATGTGTATATTTCTGCAAAAATCAATGAATTCAAACCATTGTGCTTTTGTTCAATACCCTCAAGATTTCTATGATTCTAACGCCGACGAACTCACCGTCTTACAATTAGTAAGATTTATGTTCTTTACTTTTTCTTTGGTTTATTTCTAATGTTGATATATAAATTTCATTCAGCTCGATGATTTTTTTTTGTTGTATCAATCCGTACTTAATCTTAGTTCCCTTTTATATGTTGGAAAATTAATTAGTACTTGGGACGAGGAATTGCGGGAATCCAAGGACCGTTGTATGGGGGCTCAGGATGCTTCCATACTAGAAGAGTTATGTACGGTCTTTCTCTAGATGATTTAGAAGACGATGGAAGTCTTTCCTCAATTGCTACAAGTAAGTACAACTGACAAAGACAAAATTATATGTATATATTAAAACCAATAATTTTTTTTGTCAATTAAAACCAATCTTTTTAGCATGTACAATTCTGATGTTATCACTAATTATTCTAACGTTTTGATCTAACATATAATTTATAACATATTTGTTATTAATCCATTGTTCTACTATAACTATTCAGTTATTTTACTATTCATATGTCAAGTCATTCACAACTCTCGTTGTAATTTCATTAAGGGAAGTATTTGGCTGAGGAGAGTCTAGCGAGAGAATTTGGCAAATCTAAGGAGATGGTGAAATCAGTGGTCGATGCGTTACAAAGAAAATCATATCTTCATAACACCCTTAAAGACTCTCTAGAAGCGGCTCAAGAAGTGGGACATTGTCACTACGAGTACCAAACCAGCTGGGGCAACACCGTAATTAACTCCCTTTTCAATTTAACCACTTAAGTATTTTAGACATTAATAATGTGTTTTCTTATATATACATCGTGTAGATCGGTTGGTTATACGATTCAACAGCGGAAGATGTGAACACGAGTATCGGAATCCATTCGAGGGGGTGGACTAGCTCATATATTCTTCCGGATCCACCGGCCTTTCTAGGGTGTATGCCACAAGGAGGACCGGAAGCAATGGTTCAACAGCGACGATGGGCGACCGGACTGCTTGAAGTCCTTTTCAACAAACAAAGTCCGTTGATTGGGATGTTTCGCCGGAAAATAAGATTCCGACAAAGTATGGCTTATCTTTACGTTTTCAGTTGGGGTCTAAGGTCAATCCCTGAGCTCTTTTACTGTCTCCTTCCTGCTTATTGCGTACTCCACAACTCTGCCTTATTTCCTAAGGTGACCCTCTCGCTCACTCTCTCTCTCCTTTGTGTTGTCTTCAACTCATACACATCACCGAAATTGAATTCGGGTTATGATACGAAGACAACACTAACAAGAACAACTAGATTACATGTCTCGGTCTCTTTCTTAAGTTATATCATAGCCTTCTTATTAATATTGCTCTAGTTTAATGTTTTTTGGTTTTGTTTGTGGCTCTAGGGAGTTTACTTAGGTATAATCGTCACGCTTGTGGGGATGCACTGTCTTTACACTCTATGGGAATTCATGAGCCTTGGTTTTTCCGTACAATCGTGGTATGTCTCCCAATCATTTGGGAGGATAAAAACCACTTGTAGTTGGTTATTTAGCATCCTTGATATCATACTCAAGCTTCTTGGAATCTCGAAAACCGTCTTCATAGTCACTAAAAAGACTATGCCTGAGACCAAGTCAGGGTCTGGATCCGAAAAATCTCAAGGAGAAGTTGATTGTCCAAACAAAGATTCCGGTAAATTTGAATTTGATGGCTCGCTTTATTTTTTGCCCGGCACATTTATTGTGTTGGTAAATCTAGCCGCTCTAGCCGGTTGTTTGGTGGGTCTACAACGGTTGAGTCCTCGTCACGGGGGAGGTGGTTCTGGTTTGGCAGAGGCTTGTGGATGTATCTTGGTGGTTATACTGTTCCTTCCATTTCTAAAGGGTATGTTTGAGAAGGGAAAATTTGGTATCCCATTGTCTACTCTTTCTAAAGCTGCATTTTTAGCAGTGTTATTTGTTGTTTTCTCTGTGGGAAACTAGTATATAGTAGTGTGATATGGGTTTGTTATGCACCTATCGTTAAGTGCATGTGCATGACATTGTCTCAATTGATATTGCTATATATTTATGCAATTAGTTTCGTTTTTTTTTTGTGGACAGCATACAATTAGTTTTATTGATCGTCAAACTAACTAATGTGAAACCATTCAAAGCGTTGAATTACAAATGAACGTTACTCTGACAAACATCAATATGTAGAATGACAAGCTAGTTTTGTATGTGGAATATCAACACTACGAACGAAGATGAAAATAATTACTATTTTTCTTTGATACCTTTTTTTTTTGTTAATTAGAAACAATTTAATCAATTGAACAAATGAAATACATATACAAGTTTAGTAAACCACATATATAATTAGATCATTCCAGTGCTAAGCATTTTAGCCATTCCATTGATTCGATAAATCTTTCTCTCGTAAAATCTGTTTTTCAATATGGATTATCTACTATGGAAGATCCTTGAAAGAGAAGAAAACGAGGTACTCATCTGAATTCTCTTGGGCCCTTGGCTAACCTCAAAAATCCATGTAGTGGTATCATATATATATAACAACGTTACCAGAATGAATATTATAAATTTATGTTTACCATCTTTACAAATTATTAATTTTGTTTCTAGACCTATTCTTAATAATATTTAATTTTTATTTATCAACTAACCAAAATTCTATATTAAACATATTTATAAGGTAATAATTTTATTTTTATTGATCAACTTGATAATTATTTCTCTTTTCTTAGTATATATAAAAGAAAAATATTTTTCTAGAATATCTAATAGTTAATACCTTTATAACTTTAATAATTATATGAATCAATATATTAAAAATAATTTTCTAACAATACGTATACATCATTTTTGTCAACAATCTTATGGATTTTACTGGTTAGTACTTTAATTTATCAAAATATATTATCGCATTTGTGTTAATATAATACAATAATTTTGTTTTATAATACAACAATAAATATTTGTCGTCCTAAATTAAATATACTAATAATTAATATTGTTCACTCATAATTACATAGAAAACCACAGTATTACCTGGTCGAGTCACGAGTATCACAATTGTAGATTGAGAAATTTTAGCTCACTGTAATATTCACAATTAACCTCCCTACACTTGTCTGTGGATAAGATAAATAACTTAAAGTTGGAAAAAAAAAAAAAGTAAATAACTTAACACAGATTAAGCTTTATTTTTACTCTGGTAATACAGATTTAGATTTCTTATAAAAAAATAATATTTAATCCAAATCCAACAAAAAGTTTAAACAAAAATTTTCTTTCAGACTTTCCTTGGAAGTATTATTACTTTTTCACATTGACAATTAATACTAACTTTTCTTTATATTTAACTTAACAAATTAAGTCCACAGAGGGTATTTTTGTCTATTCATATTTTTAAAGCCATGCGTGCATTGCCTTAGTCTATATAAGTTCACCTCCCACTCATCGACTGCCACAACACTCGTAAAGAAGCTCAAGAAATTCTCCCTGAGAAAAATCCAAAAAAATAAATAAATAAAGAATCAGCGACGGAGATTTTCTCCGACCAATCCATGTCGGAAAATGTGGTCAATCTACCGGATTCTTTGTATGAGGACTATAGTAAACTCAAGTTGACTTCGTCCCCGCCCTACGCTTCGTCATCCTCAGCTCCTCCGCCGGGGCTCACCGTCGTAGCTCAGCCGACCGTAGAGATGATTCTCCAGTGGGTCTATGATCTTCATAAACCAAACTCACCCAAGTTTGATTTCGCGCTGCATAATCTCGCCTATGTAAGTGCATATACTCTTCGATTCTCTCTATGTTTGATATGATTTTTAGTTTGATCTGTTGTCTCTCTGTTTTTTTCAACATGATTTTGATCCTTTGAGTCCGATGAAGTGATTAGTTTCTGAGAAAGAAGTGTTTTTTTTTTTTTTCCGATTATGGGAAATTCTTGAGATCTCCGTTTGTTTCTTGCTGCATAGGCTAACGATTTTATCCCTATACATCTTATGGGAATGCTTGATAATAGGATATCATCACAATCTTAGACTCTCCTTTTCGCCGTTAAATGATAGATTTTGTTGTATCTAAATCTTAGATCTGGTTGCTTGACATGGAATGTTCTTGTTTGTGAGTCAATTTGGCTTTCCTTTGTGGATAATCATAATCTTGGAGCCTATAAGACACAATCAGTTGTCATTCTCTGTTTTGTTTGTATCCGTTTGTCGATTTATCGTTAATTTATCGTTGGATCGGCAATTGTTATTCCTCTTTTGCTTGTATCCATTCCATGATTAAAGGCGTTACATCGTTGGATAGGCTTTCACCATTTCCTTCGGTTCAGGAGATCTCGCTGTCTTCTAATCATAAGAAACATTCAATTGTTATTCCTCTATTGTTTGTCTGCATTTGTCGATTATCGCCATTATCTCGTTAGGTCGGTTTTCGTGATTTTAGGTTTAGGAGATCTCGCAATTTGTCTCATCATATATATGAACTATTCAATTGTTATTCCTCTTTTGTTTGTATCCGTTTGACGATTGTCGGTATTATATCGTTTGTCGGCTTTCACATTTTTTAGGTTTAGGAGATTTCACAATCTTTCTTATCATCATTTCTCAATTTGCTCTGTTTTTCATGATGTGCTCTCCCTATAGATTATAAAAATCTTAAGCCTAGATCTTGTTCTTCTGTGCATTCTTCGTTTATTTCCATATCGTATCCCGATAGATAAGAATGTGTGTGGTCTAGAATTACAGCGTATCCCGATGGATAACAAAATGTGTGGTCAAGAATTACAGCGTATCGCGATAGATTATAATGTGGGTAGTCAAGGAATACAGTGTCTAGTTATAAATTTTGATTTACTTTTATGGTATTGCCAATTGCTATGCATTTGAAATCCTCTACAATTCAATGCTTTGCAAATTGTTTTCCAAATTCGCGGTAGCTAGAAAGGATAGCTATTCATAATTGTGGCCCAATGCAAGTAAAGAAATTTATCTCGGTATGACTCGCATATATGGAAAACCAAAATTTCATAATTCAGAGAACCAAAGTTAATCGGGCATATTTTGATCTTATCGGTTATCGAGATCTTATCTTTAGTATTTCTTATGGTATGCAACACTTGACTATGCCTTTGTTTGTCTATAGGTTGAGAATAAATTCACTCTAAACTTTTACTTTTTTTTTCTTTTCTTTTTGACATCTTTTGATCCACAAGGCCCGATCCATAGTCATAAACTTATATATTAGTAGTCGAGGACCACTTTAAAACATTTTTGGAATTTTAACAACTTATATTATCTCTCTCTTTTTTTCCCAATGGCAGCATAGGGACAATTTTGAGTTCTTGCCGAGTCTGTTATGGGAATCTAAAAATACTGTGTACATCATGTTGCAGGTTAAGTACCGACTACTTTAGTTATTTCTTTTGGCTTTTTAAACAGATTTTTTCAAAATCTTGCCATCTTTTGTTGTACAAATTTCTCTCTATTTGTGACACTCACTTCAAGTTTCATTTAATCTACGCAGGAGGTTTTTGTAGCCTACAGACACCTCGTAGGACACATCTCACTTCGATTGTTCCCTCATCCATTGAATCCACTTCGAGTGTACAATGTTTTGCTTTTGTTCCAGGTTTCGTTTTGGTCTCACACCTTGCTTATTTTCTTAAGTTTAAAAACCATTTCTTTGATAAATGCTTAAGCCCAAACTTTTTCTGTGATATTATCATCGTTTTTCCTGTTACAGAGCATGGCTTATCACCCAGACACAAGCCGTCGGTTTCTTAGGGGTATGTCTTTCTCCTTTAGTTCAACAAACCATCTTATCTTCACATTAGCTATATCAATGTTATATCATGTTACATTGTCTTTGAAATTTCTTTGCTTATGTTGGTTGGTTTGTTGCAGCTAAGATGCCAAACTATTTCTATCCTTTGATGGACCTTGGTCTCATCGATAAGCGTCACGAATGCCTGAGGCTTGCTGCATTGGGTGTCATTGCTCATATGTTGAAGGCGGTAACATACATATTCTCTTACAACATATATAATCTGTTTGTGACAAATGCTTTTGAAAACTCCACTAAATTACTTTGAACAACATCTCACTTCTCTACAGTCTGAAGATGGAGCTGTTAGTCGTTACCTAATGGAAAGTGGTGCTGTAGGTTTTTGCGCTAAACCCGTTGAGTTTGGCTCTATCGAAACAAAAACTGTAAGTTTCTTTCACCCGCTTCTTCTACTCATCTTGACTATAAAATCAGAGAAGAAATTAAAGAAACCCTTTGAAACTAATACTTCTTGTTCAGGTTGCTGTATACATACTTGACAAGATTATGTCAACTGATGAGGGGCTTCATTACTGCTGCGTCTTGGCTGATCGGTTTTTCGTTATCGATGAACTCCTTAAGAAGCTGCTCGTCTATCTTTCTTCCATGTACAGACCTTCTTCCTGCTTGTTCAACCTTGTTATTGGTTGCTACGTCAAGCTCTCCCAGAAATCCAGGTTTTCTTGCTACACCTTCTGATCTTATTTTGATATTGATACAAAATGGTTAGGCTTTGTAAAAGCAAACAACAATTTTATTTTCTTGTATATGCATTAGGGCTCGTGACGGAATAAGGCGATACACGCCTTTCTTGCTGTTTGACGGCACTTTTGCAAGATTATATGCTGTAAGATTGAAATCGCTTGTGTTTTTGGAATTAGTATGGTTTTGGTTCATGCAGGGAATAGTAAAAGATTAAGTGTGTTGTCTGTTGTTTTTTCGCAGGAGGACCCTGTCGCTGATAACAATCGGATTCAGCTGATTCAGAATCTGGAAAACTAAAGCAATGAAGTACCGGAGACACTGTTTTCAATGAGGAAATGAAAACGAAGCGATACACAACCCCCACAGAGAACAGGTTTACTACGCCTACGCGTACGCTAAGTAATAATTTACTAAAGACATAAAAACTATGAAATATTTTTATGTTGTTGTTTGGTTTAATATCTTTTGGATGACTCTTATTACTCTCTCAACATTGTTCTCTCTCTTTTGAGATACATTTCAATGCATTTTCTATCTTTTTTCAAGTAGTTTAATTTTTGCTTAATTAATTTGCAACTTGATTGATGATTGATACTGCAAATGAATACTATTATCATGATCTTCATCTGCAGGACACACTAGGAAACATAAAAAAAGAAGAAGTTAGGTTTATGTTATATAGATGTAGAGGTTCCGGAATCCGGAAGTTGTGGTTTTGAGTTCCTCTAAGACTTTTTAGAAAGAGACATGAATTAGAGTCTAGAGAGGCATCTTGGTCTCGGTGACATTCCATGGCAGAAGGGTTGGTTATAGCCAAACCAAGCAAAATCATTCCACATACATATATAAAATCTTCTCAGATGTTTTTGTTACCTATTAGAATAATCTCCAATCCAATTAACATCCATGGACAAGTTCCATAGTTGCCCACTGTCTTGTTCCGCATTCATATCATAAGTCAAACGTTTGATCAGTACCATTGCCAAACAAAATTAGCTTGAAACCAATCCCCAACTTTGGACACATAAACATTTGAAGAGTTTGTCACTTTCAAGTATGGTTAGTGAATGTGAAGTTTGGCTCCGGGATCTTTTGGTGTAACTAAAAACTGTACTATAGTATTACTCACTAAACCATTCAGTGTTCACTGTAATAATAATAGTCCACTCATCACTTAAGTCAGATTTACATTTTCTCTTATGGTTGGTTACTTACCCTAAATAGAAACCTCTTTTGTTCTTTGTTTTTTTAATGGTAAATGAAATCGAAATCAAAATTGAACCACCGTCAAAAAATTCGAGTGCAACAGTCAAATCAGAGTCTTGAATCCATTGGGTTCTCCAATTTTCCACCAAATCCCAACTCGAATTTCAAACCCAGTTCGCCAGATCTCCAATGGCGAAGCACACGGCGGCGTTTAAAGTCCGGCGGGCACCTCACGGAGGCCTTAGCCGTTTCCGCCTCCTCGCAGCCTCTTCTGACCATCCCCAAAGGTAAAATCACAACTGCCCTTGATTGGATCTTGCTTCATCGGCTCTAAAGTTCACTGCTTTCCTCTGAGAAAATGAGCAAAATTACTACTTTTCTTATTTGGGTATTGTTTAACGATTTGGAGTAGTAGTTGGTTTAGTTTCTGGTGATTGAGTTGCTTCAGCTTGATTAGGGAATGAGTTTTGCATAAACAAGAATTGTGTCTTTCATTAGATTTTACACTGTTTTTGACTGTGTTATTGTATCTCCGATTATTTGGTTTTCATAAGTAGGCAATGATCAGTTTTTGGAGATCATAGAGATGTAAGTTTGGAAGCTACTGATCCTTGTGTAAACAAATTTGAGTCTTTGAGGTCTGACTTGTGGTGTGGTTGAGCATCTGGTTTACTTGTTGTGGCTGTCGTGGTGACACCAAATCTGAATGGCGGTGTATGCTTTGCATTTTAGGATATATCCTTAATCAGGTTTATAGGATTTACTGGAATGAATTCATGGAGGTTAATAATGTTGTTTAGAATGATTTGTGATAATTGCTTCTTTACTAGTTTTACAAAATTGTTTTTTTACTAGTAGGGAATCATCCCCAACTCTTCTTCCTCCTCTTTCCTCTTCTCCTTATTGGTTGCTTATGTTTGTATAATATAGTTTTCTCTTACTTTTAATATTGTAGGTTCAGTGAACCTTTTGTTCTGTCTGCTCAGATCCAATTCTATCTCCTCCCACTGTCCTTGGAAATCCCAATGCTACCACCACCACCACCAAGTAGACCTTTTTCTATATAATTCTTGTTTTGATTACTTTAATAAGTAATAACCCCCTTCAATTTTGGCTTTGTTTCTAAGGCATTTTCTTTCCTGTAATCTGGGTTTTTGTGGGTCCAACTCTCTCTCTTGATTTCAACAACTTGGCAACTTCATTCAATTTCAAGTTCCAAAACAAGAGAGAGAGAGAGAGATAAAGAATTCTTTATTGTGTCCATGAGTTGGTTAGGTGATCCTCCACTTCCAATTGGCTATCCATCTATCCTCTTCTTTTATTTATACTCTCAGAAACACCAAATCAAAAAGGCAACACAATAATACTGTCTAAATGCTTCTCTACTTTCTCATCACTTGTCTCTCTTTCTTTTTCTTTACCAAATCTCTATCTCTTCCTCCATGGGCATCTGAAACCAAAACCTTGCTCTCCTTCTACTTCATCAAGAATCCCTTTATGAATTCCCTACATCAGACCACACACGATCCAGCCTCTCCGGTGATCGACCAAATGTCGGTTCTTGACCTCCCTGAGCTGGTTCTTGACTGCATTCTCGACCTTCTTCCACCCTCTGGACTCTGTAGCATGGCTAGGGTTTGTAGCTCCTTGAGGGAGAGATGTGTGAGTGATCATCTATGGGAGAAACATTTGAAGACCAAATGGGGCAAAATTCTTGGCCCTGCTGCTCACAGAGAGTGGCAATGCTTTATCTCTTCCACATATCATCTTGATTCTCCTCATCAACAAACTGGGAATCTTGGTTTTGCCAAAATCATTTCTCTGATCCGATCGCTTTCATCCGTTTTTCGAGATGATAAACAAATGAGGGTATATACATCTTCTCTGCCACTTGATTCCAGCATGAGCTGCTATCTCTCCCTTGAAACAGGTCGTTTTTGGTTCCCTGCTCAAGTCTACAACCGTGAGGTAATCATTTCATAAACACAGTTGCTCCATTTTTTTATGTTTGATGGGTTTGATTAAAGTACTGAGAGCCTTTTTTTGGTGTAAGAGCAGAATGGGCATGTAGGGTTCATGTTGTCATGCTATGATGCCGAGCTCAGCTATGATACTCACACTGATACTTTCCTAGCCAGGTATAAAATATCTGATGTCCACATTTGACGCTAACAAATTTTCTTATTTCTCATCAAAAGTTTACGTTTATTGGGGATTTTAGGTATCCACCACATGGTAGACGAGCAGCTGCGGTTGAAAAGGGTGTGACATGGGATAGAATAAGAGCAGCTCCCATTGATGCATCGCCTCATCATCTCTATGTGTCAGATTCTTTAAAAGAATTGAAACCTGGAGATCACATCGAGATCCAGTGGAGAAGAAACAAAGAGTTCCCATATGGTAAGTAACAACATGTGATGCTTGTGGTTTGAACTTGCAATCTGATTCTGAAACAAGCTTGTGTGATGTTGTTGTGTAGGATGGTGGTATGGTGTTGTTGGCCATTTGGAATCCTGTGATGGAGATCTCAACCATTGCCATTGCCAACTTAGCGGTGAGTTCTCCGCTTCATCTTCTGTGGTTAAAAAATGGAGTCTTGGTTGGTTGTTCAAAATTGGCTGTCATATTCTATGCATTACTCATTGTCTCAGCTCATAAAGTCCATTAAAAACCCAAAACTTAGTTGAAAAGGGTGAACATTGAAGAGAGCCAATTCAAGCAATGCCTTTTCTTGTTAAGATTGGTCCCAAAACGACAAATGATGATGATAATGTGATATGTCTTGATTTTCCTTGACATTTTGATAAATGTGTGTCTTCAGTTGATGTTGAAACCTCTACTTATGTCCTCATCGTTGGAATCTACATTACTAATGGTGGTGGGGCTCAACAATGATTCTTTGTCTCTTTATCTCTCCAAAAAATCTCTTATTTGTTTTCCTTTTGCTGGCTCATTGTATGACCACAAAGTAGAAATCAATTAGAAATAGATAATTTTTGGGATTTCTCTCTGCCCACTTGCATCTTGATTGAACCTAACTCCTCTGATTCTTTTTCTATTGATATTGTGTCAAAAGAGTTTCTGCATTCACATGTTGTACTAAATGGTTAAGTGTTGAATGGTAAAAACAGAGACGGTAGTGTTGAAATTCAACCAGTACACAGTCGGATCGAGGTGGAGAAGAACGATGGTGATGAGAGATCATAAAGAGGAAGGTAATGAAGAAGACGGGTTCTATGGAGGAATCCGAAAGATAAATTGTAAAGAAGAGATTGCAATGTGGAAGCGTCACTGGCCTTGCTCCATCTTGGAATAGCATGAAGAAGCTTTGCTTAAACACTTGGGGAAATATGTTACACATCACTGTACGGAGAGTAGGATGTTGAATTTAGACATCTATTCTCTTTTATCCAAAGTATGGTTGATCGTGAATTATTTGTTTGGAATATAGTCAAAATACGTGAAACTATTGTGTCACTTCGATTTGAGAAATATTGTGGTGTATAGGAAAATATAATACAATTGATTTGAATCATCATAAAAGAGCAATTTGATTTTGATCTTGTTTCTGCTTGCTATGTCAAGCTCTCTATCAGAGTTCCAGGTTTCTGCTACATCTTCTGATCTACTCTGAAATTTTACATGGCACCTTTGTCAAAGTACTGCTCTTGCTGTAAGATTGAATCTTCTGTTGTTTGGGACCCGTATGGTTCTGGTTCATGCAGGGAGTAGTAAAGATTCAGTGTGTGTTTTGCAGGAGGTTGTTTTAGTTGCAGAGCTTCATGTTCTTTAGTCTTAGATGAAGTTTGAAGAAGAGAATAAAGCCTTTCTGATGTTAGTGTTGTGAAGTTGTGGATCTTAGTTGGTTTAGCTACTAGGACATTTAGAAAAGCAACCTGAAGTTGAGAGAGCATCGAAAATCAAGGTCTAAGTGACACTTCTCTAACCATAGCAGAGGGTTTATTAGGGGTATCCCCTTTGAGTTAGGCAATTCCAGTTGTGGTATTCACAGGTTCTCAGAGGTTTTTGTTTCTCTAATGGTTTGCCATTGAATAATCTCCAATACAATCACAATCAGTATCCATGGACAAAGTTCCACAGCTGCCCACTGTCGTTGTTCCTGGGAAGGGATTGTATTTGAAAGTCAGAATCCTAATCAGAAGAAGAGACAACAAGAAGCTTACCATTGCAGCATTAGTTGCTCCACTCTCAATAAACCCAAAATTTCCTTACTTACACTAAAGATCCTCATCTTCTTCAAAAGAAAGATTCTTGCAGTCATATTTTTCCTTGAAACAAACTAGTAACTACATCGAATAAGCTAGGACGATCCTCCTTA